TATAAAGAACCATACCCTAGCACTCGAAAACGATAAATAAGAGGAGAAGAAAGATTAAAACGCAACAAAGTTTGCACCCCAACAATATAGAAACTGCACAAATATCATTTATGCAAGGCAGGCACGCGAGCAATGAGAGATCAAGCATGCATGCTATGTTCTCCACTAAATTTGGGCAAGCAAGAAACTACTCTGTGACAGAAATGCTTTTGAAAATCAATCAGATAGAAAGATGGTAACAGAAAGAATTGATAGAGGAAATGAAAATGACCCAAAAGAGAGACAAAGAAAGCAAAACAAGACTGATAAAGAAAGAAGTTAGGAGTCTTGAAAAGTTACCAGAAAGTAGATGAGAGCCTTTCTTTTCTTTCGACTATCAAAACGAGTGACGACAGTTTAACACTTTAGCCGAACAAGAGATGCAGAGAAGAAATGCACACTCTGTGAAGTGTTTGACAAAACCAACAGAAACCCCCAGCTGTTTCGCTTCCGCATGGACTAGCTACTGGTGATTGCTTTTGTTGGCAGAGGGCACGGATTTCATATCTGAAAGGTCTTAAACTATGGCACACTATTTTTAGGGTGGTGTATGTTAATGGGAATTCAGGAAGATTTTATGGGAGAAAAAACACAACTGTTTTCTTTGCCTGTTTTTTCGTTTATTGTAAGTTTCAAATGGAGTTCTGGAACACAGACGGGTGTAATCTCTTTCTTTTCCATCCTAATATGAGCTCGATTCAATGATACAACAGTCATTTTCCACCTCTCATTAAGCTTTTTGGATGAAAGCAAATCAAGATTCAATTTTAATGTCTTTGTTGGAGCACCCATGCACGTTCCTTGAGTCAATAAGATGGTTCAAGCTCTCCACAAGCTAACTAATGGTTAAAAAAGATAAACAAAAAGTACAATTAAATGCTATTAAAGGAAGTTCCATCAATTAGTGCTCCATTAATAATTAGTGGAAGCTCCATTAATACTTAATGGAAGCTACGTCAGTTGATTCTTATGTGCACATCGCTTATAAATAAACAGCATGTAGAGCAAGGAAGGACACACACAAAAAAAAAAAAAAAACACATATTAGAACACTTGTTTTCTTCATTCACTATTACCATTGCCTTTTCTAACGTCCTTGCAATATTTTCTACAAATCTTTCCACAAATATAATCTGTTCTAATTTTATCTCATTACACACATTAATAAATGATTACTCTTTATTCACTCTTGCTTGCTCTTTCTAGCACCTTGCGACAATTTTACAACAGGTAAACTTGTATACGGTATATTTCTCCCTGTGTTTTATTAATTTAGCCCTGTACATAAAGGGAACATGTTCCCAGGAGAGCGCAGATCAATTTAAAGGTCTAAATTATATTTTCAAGCACATTTTTCAGTTAAGAAAAACCCAAATCCAACAAAGGTTTTTTCTCCATCTTGTTAGTGGTGTTGTTTGTCAAAATCTAAGCTCATTTCTCCTTTTATTTTATTAAAATACTTTTTATAGTTAACAAAACTCTAAGACAAGAAGAGAGTAATTGATCTCGCTACTGCAACCCCTCCAAATTAATCTTAAGCAACTCGTAAATTAATTTTTAATATTCATCTCAAACTTGTCAAGAGAAGATAATCATGAAGTTTAAACAATCATTTTGGTTTTCTTCTTTAATCATGATTGACCAAATGAGCGCTACTTTGAAGAGATTATCATAACAAAACTATATATAAAAATGAGATAAAAGTAGTTAATATTTGTAGAGGAAATATATATTTATCATATGGATCAAATATTATATAATTTGAAGATTTAAAACTTCATATTCATTGATTAAAATACAAGCTCTTAATTAGTTTAAAATGGAAGTTGATTAGAGAAAAAATATTGTTGAGTTCATTGAGTCAAAATAGTTATAAACATGTGACGAGGATCACTAATTCTTAAAAAAAGGGTGTTTATAAGTCCATTAATGATGGTTTAAGCCTATGAAATGGTTAGAAATGCTATATTTATTTGCCTGAAAGTGGTAACTTGATCAACTTTATTGGCTGAAAAAGATGACAAACAAAGATTAGATGACATGTAACTCATTCTCTTTATTAAAGATGAGTGACACGTTATTTAGAGTAAACTCAATAAATTAAGTTTTTCTAATTATGATTTTGCAAACTTTAATTTAGCTCTTGTTGTTTCAATTCTGGCATGTGTATCCTCAATTGATTCTAAAACTTCTAGTTTGTTTAATTTAACCCCTATCAACCATCAAACTTTCAATTTCTTTCAAATTAACACCTATTTTGATTGATTTCAGTCATCAAATGTATGTGTTTTTTGTACTTTGATTCTTGATTATGAGGTTCTTCAATTCGGCCCTTAATTAAACCTTGAATCTTGATTTTTCTTGTAATTTCAACCCTAATTTCATCCAAATAAGCTTGTAAAAGTTGAATTTAGTCTTCTAAAATTTCAATATTATCAATTACATCAAAATTAGGCTTTCAGACTTAAATTTTTGAATAATTAAATCCTGAATAAAAGTAATTTGACCCATTAAAAGTCTAATTAAGTTCTTGCACTTCATTAATTCTTTTAATTTATGCCTAAATTAATTTATAGATTTAATTAAACCCTTAATTAAGCTCATTATTAAATCAAATTAGCCCATTAAAAATTCAATTAATTAAGTTTCTAAACTTAATTTTTATACAACTTCATTCAAAATTCATCTCGAACTTGTATTGACTTTTAACATTTGGTTTTTTCATAGGTATATTTGAATTTTCAAAGTTGCCACAAATTTAGTTTGGTGACTCCATCTCTCACCTATACATGTTGATTTTTTTTTGGCATCACAAGCGACGCAACTAGGAACAATACAAAAAAAATAATAAATACAGAGAAAAATCTCAATCCAATCCAGCAATTAGATTGAAATTTATAACCCTTAGCATAAGATTACATATTTGATCAAAATCTCCTATATCATATCTGATAAATCATTGAGATGCATGCCAATCTTGTATACCAGAAAGTTCCTTCAGGGCATGATAGATTTTCATATAAGCAGTTCCAAATCAACAGTTGGTTATTGAGTTTACTGATCCGTTCTTAACTTTTTCGTTCCAATTATACTGCTCTAATTGATGTGCATGAAGCATTCAGAGTTCCCTAGCAAAGAAAGAATGTAATTTGCATTTTCAATTTCAATTGATGTGTTCTTTGTCTTGAATCCAGCACTTGTTGGCAACACCTTTGCAGAATACGTAACATAATTAAGAAGCATAGTTATAGAGTGGGCAATGGACTTAGCTTAGATTTGCTTCAGCATCTGGCAATTGCAATTGCTATCGAAGAAATAATGAAATATGGACACAAAAGCTTACTATCTAGGCTCAGTGAATGTTTGAGAATATGCTGTAAATTATATTTATAAAAAAAATTATTTTGATATGTTGATTTTAAAAATAATTTTTTAAAATAAAAAATATTATTTTAATATAATTTTTTTAAAAAAAATCAATTACAATCACACTTTTAAATAAATTTTAAATGCATGCATCCCAGGTATCTTTAGAGGCTCAAAAACATTATGCAACCATCTGGTTACGGTTCTACTGTTAGAAGATGCAGTACATGTTTGATGTTATGGTACTTTTTATAGTTATAATTTGAAAAAACATGTTTAAGAAACATTTTTTTTTATGTATAACCAAAATTTTAAGAGAGGAATTTCAATAAAACTCATGCAAAATTATAATATTTATTATTTAATTACTTTTAATATTATAATAAAGACAAAACACAATTTAACCCCCGTGAAGTTCCATTTTAAAATGTAATATTTCTTTTGCTTTGACACAGCTTTGATAAAATCATCATATAATAAACACTAGGGGATAAATCATTAACAAAAACAATAGAATGGATTATTGTGTGTTCTAATTTTTTTTTCCTAGATATTTTTTCACTTTCTTTATTTAATCATTAATTTTTTTCTTGAGAAAGAAAACAAATTTATTTTTTTCCAATAAAAATATGAATTTACAACCGAGAGAAATATATCAATTTCTTTTTTAAATCCAATCCAAAGTTAATTTAGGATAGATTTCAAGAGACGAATTAAGTGAGGTAATCCAGATTAATTTGGATTAATTTAATTTTTTTATTTTATTAATTGATTTTAATTATATTTTTCTTGGATTAACCGGGTAGATCAATCCAAGTTTTTGATCATATTATATTAAATAAATTTTTTTATGATAGTTTAACCATCAAATTAAATGAAGTCTTAAAACAGGATCTATAAATAATTTAACAGCATAATTCCACTCTCATTAATTTGCACTCCCCCCTAATCAGCAATTCATAACTTTCTCATAAAAAAGGAAAACCTTTCATATAAAAGGAAGAGTAAATAAAAAAGAAGAGTAAATTGTATATTAAGCCTTGTATGTGTGAGAAGCTAATACTTTAGTCCCTCTACTTCCTAAGAACAAAAGTTTATCAAAATTGAATATTCTATTTTTTGGTGCTAGATGATTTGGAATTATAACAAAAAAGCTATGAAAAAGAAGATTACAGAGAGAAAAAATGTCACTTAGTTTATCAAATAAAAAAATATTTTGCTTTTATCTTTTTTCATATAAGATTAAATCATATATTTGGTAGTATTATTTATAGAATTAAGTTTAATAAAATCAATTGTAACCCCTTTCCTCTAGCTTTGTGATGATGGGAATTGACCAAGGAATGAAACTTGTAGAGAAGTTAGAAAGATCATGAAGTTTAGATCCTGATATGTTATTCACTTTATATTATGTATACGGATTTGTAGTTATTCCAAACCCGAATAGGAAATAAAGGCAGCTCTGCTCTGTCTGATTACTTCCACAATTTAAGTTCTCGTCCTTAAAACTTCGATTCTGCGAATGTGTTTCTAACATCCATTGCTGTTTGATTTTCAAGAAGTAATGTTCTTTGAAGTGACTGAGTGAACTCATATCAACATCATGTGTGTATCCTCTCAGGAGCTGAGAAAGTGAAAGCTTTTAACTCCTTATTTCATACAAGCCAAGCCCAAGTGGGTCAGTCTACTTCATTTTCACTCTCCTTCAAGTTTTCATCAATGGGTTTCTTTCTTACAGGATATATTTTCTGTTTGTGGTAGTGTTGTGTCTTTTCTTTGTTTTCTGTTTAAAGATTGGAACTTTTTTCACCTTGGGTTTGAAAGTTTTCGTCTTTAGTTGGAAGCGAAGTAGCAGTGTTTGATTTCTTAATATTTGCAACTGTGCTTAGATTTTTTTTTCTTTTATAGTGGTTGATATGATAATGGAGTTGGAACCACTGACTATGGGGAATGAAGTTATTGAATTTGACATGATGGGTTTGGGAGACGATACTGTGGATGATATTCAGCATCAGTCTGTTGATGTTGGTGTTGATGAAGTGGAAGAAGAGGAAGCAGGAGATGGAGAAGTTGAAGGAAACCATTTACTGCTGAATTTTTATGACCCCCAAAGTTCCCACAATTCCATTTCTGGTCAAGTCTATATCCCTCAAGGGGACACTAATCTTGAGCCTTATGAGGGTATGGAATTTGAGTCTGAGGAGGCTGCGAAGGCTTTTTACAATTCGTATGCTCGTCGTGTGGGATTTAGTACTCGTGTCAGTATGTCCCGCAGGTCTAGACGTGATGGTGCTATCATTCAGAGGTCTTTTGTTTGTGCAAAAGAGGGTTTCCGCATTGACAAGGATAAGCCTGCACGTTCTGATGTGCGTGTCAAACGCCCTCGTGCTGAAACCCGTGTTGGTTGTAAGGCCATGTTGGTCGTTAAAATCCAGGATTGTGGTAGGTGGGTTGTTTCGGCATTTGTAAGGGAACATAACCACGAGCTTGTTCCACCTGACAAGGTGCATTGTCTCCGCTCTCACCGCCATGTATCCGGCTCTGCCAAATCATTGATTGATACCTTGCAGTGTGCTGGGATTGGTCCCAGTGGTATTATGTCTGCCCTCATCAAAGAATATGGTGGAATCAGTAATGTTGGTTTTACTGAGCGTGACTGTAGGAATTACATGAGGAGCAGTCGACAAAGAACTCTTGGTGGTGACACTCAGCACCTTTTGGACTACCTGCGAAACAAGCAGGCTGAGAATTCTGCTTTTTTCTATGCTGTGCAGGGTGATGAAGATCAGTGTATGAGCAATATCTTCTGGGCTGATGCAAAGGCAAGGGCTAACTACACATACTTTGGTGACACTGTTACCTTTGATACAACCTACCGGTCAAATCGCTATCGATTGCCCTTTGCACCGTTCACTGGAGTTAACCATCACGGGCAGCCTGTTTTGTTCGGTTGTGCTCTCTTGGTCAATGAATCCGAGGCTTCTTTTCTCTGGCTTTTCAAAACATGGCTTATGGCAATGTCTGAACGGCCTCCTGTTTCAATCACTACTGATCATGATAGGGTAATTTGTCTAGCCGTGAACCAGGTTTTTCCAGAAACCCGTCATCGTATCTGCAAGTGGCACATCTTTAAAGAATTCCAGGAGAAGCTGTCCCATGTGCTTTCTGAGCATCCTAATTTTGAAGCGGAGCTCCATAAATGTGTTAACCTCACAGAGTCAGTTGAGGAATTTGAGTCTTGTTGGTTGTCTCTACTTAATAGATATAATCTCAGGGAGCACGAGTGGCTACAAGCAGTTTATACTGATCGACGCCAATGGGTCCCAGCTTACTTGAGAGATACATTCTTTGCAGAAATGTCTATAACACAGCGCAGTGACAGCATCAACTCTTACTTTGATGGATACATCAATGCCTCAACTACCCTACAGTTGTTTGTTAAGCAGTATGAGAAGGCTTTGGAAAGCCGCTATGAGAAAGAAGTCAAAGCTGACTATGATTCGATAAATACCGCCCCAGTTCTGAAGACACCTTCACCTATGGAGAAGCAAGTGGCTGAGCTCTATTCCAGGAAATTGTTTTTAAAATTTCAAGAAGAGCTGGTTGAGACTTTAACTTTCCTGGCAACCAAAGTTGGGGATGATGGTGCAATCACCACTTATAGAGTTGCTAAGTTTGGTGAAAGTCATAAAGCTTATACTGTTAGCTTTACTGTTCGTGAGATGAAAGCCTCTTGTAGTTGTCTGATGTTTGAGTTCTCCGGCCTTCTTTGCAGACACATATTGACAGTTTTTAGGGTGACAAATGTTCTTACACTGCCTTCCCATTATGTTTTGAAACGATGGACAAGGAATGCCAAGAGTGGTGTCATATTGGAGGAACACGCCAGTGATTTTCTTAGTAGTTCACGAGAATCTCTTACCTTTCGATACAGCAACCTTCGCCATGAGGCCCTTAAGTACGTTGATAATGGAATCCAAAGTTTAGAAATTTACAATGTTTCAATGGATGCTTTGCAAGAGGCAGCAAATAAAGTGGCTCTTGCAAGAAAGAATGGTGGGAAAGTTGCAATAGCAAATAGAGCTGGCAGAGAAGAGTATCCTCCTCAGGGAAGTCAAGCAAATAATAACAATCATAATCAGCAACAGGGCTCAGAACAGCCTGCTTCTGGGGTCAGTTTTTCATTCCTTCTCTCTCACACTTTAGTTATTTATTCATTTAATTTTTCCTTTGTCAGTAATATTTGATACTTATTTTTTCCCTTTTCTACAGATTTTTCTGTTAATGCTGGAATATAGGTGATATTAATGCAAAAATTGCTCTTTTAATTCCGATTAACTAATGACTTTGTCAGTTGAGATTAATTTGTCGACTTCAATGGGTCTCTTTGTAGTTTGTAGCAGAAACAAGCTATTTAGATTCATGGTAATCATCATCGTTGTCATACCATCATCTGATTTTGTTTCCATTAACAGCCTAAACTCTCACTGCATCTGCTGTTTTGGAACATTTATCTTCTTTTTTTTGTGTGAATAGAATACTTATTTTTATGCAGAATGTTTCTTAATTTTCTTTTTCTTTTTCCTACTCCTAATAGTTGATGATGTGGAGGCTTGGTCCTGATAGTTGCATTCTACTTTTGTGGGATAGTAGAACAAAACACAGCTGGCTTGTGTTTGTTTTGTTACTTCCTCAGCTGAATGCAATTGAATATTATATGTATCAATTTGCAGGATGACCAGGACAAGAAAATCCAGAAACTGCATCACAAACTGGATCGCGCGCGACAAAAATGTGAAGCATATAGAGCAAACTTGCTTTCAGTGCTGAAAGATATTGAGGAGCAGAAATTACAATTGTCTATTAAAGTTCAAAATATTAAGTTGGGAATGAAAGATTAACCCAAATGGCTTTGTTGGTGTCAGCTTATCCCCGCCCCCCTCTCCTTCCCTTCCTTCGGCTTTCTCTAGCTAGATGAGACGCACAAATGAGAAGTGTAATTTGTTTCTTATGATAGAAGATGAAATTAACCCTTTTTGGCTTTGAGTTATATCATCCTTCATATTTTTATAGTGTTCTGATCTCAGTTGGTGATGGTTTTCATCCTGCCTCCTGTCGTGATGGTTTCCTCAATTGCTTTCCCGTCAATTGAGTCTGATGGCTTTAGTCTATGAAACTTTTTATACTGCACTTTGGCCTTGGTGAAAATGCTATCGTCTTAAGGTAGTGCCATGGCATCTGTATGGAAATGGGAACTCGTGTGAGAGATGCTACCTTTTAAATTTACTTGAACATGAACTGGCTAAGCAAGGTTCGAAAAATGGCCAAGGTTCTAGGAATCCCCCTTTAACAGTGATAAGCAATATCTTTATATGATCAACCTTGGCTTACCAGTTTTGGTTTTAAAAATACCAAAATCATCCACAGCATCCTCTGTTGTAGTAACTGCTTGAGTTGACATATGAAAGAAGCTGGTTAGTTCAAACTGGGCTCGGATGAAAAGACATTCAAGCCTCAACTTACATTTCTAGTCAGGTCTGTACCGAAATGATACAGTTGCTTTACGGAAATGTACAAGAACCAGATGTTGTGGTTTCAAAGAGTTATACAAGGTTGATTGTCCGAGAGACCTCCTGAACTTTTGATCAAATCTATATAGACTTTTGACCTTTAATTATATTTTTGTCCCTCAAATTTTCAGGTTAAGGCAAAATAATCTCACTTGGGCTTTCATCATCTAGCAGGAATAGTCACACATATGCACATCATGTGCTACTTAATTGAGTTTATAGAACAGAGGTGGAGACGATGTGATGTATTGTACTGACCTGATAGTTCGATAAATAAAAAAACAACAGGAAAATGAAACCAATTAGCCCATACATAATGGCATTGAACCTCACACGTCATTCAAATTTCTATATAATAATTTTAGCTGTTTCTGTTTTTGGCTGCCCAAGTCCTCACTTGTAACTCCATCACATAAGGACCTCAGCCCATTATCGTTTCTGCATGATAGTAACTCATAGCCGTAAACAGCACTCAATTCATTATCATTTCTGCAGAAAACTGTTCGCATGTGCTTCTGGAATGCAAAACCCTGCTGATACCAAAATTACTTGCAACTGTCGCTTTACAAGTCATCTCTGTGCAGCCTCCCTAAACTAAAAGAAATGTAACCAAGAAATTGGATTCCTTCAATGAATATTGCAACTGTCGCTTTACAAGTCATCTCTGTGCATTCTCCCTAAACTAAAAGAATGTAACCAAGAACAATGGATTCCTTGAATGAATATTTATTAGCTTTTCAAAGTTTAATTTTCAGTGAATGTTTAATAGTGTGGCACATGATGTTATTTATAAATACTTTATAATTAAAAATGCATTAGAATGATGTTTTTCAAATTATTATTGTTTTATTTTTGACATTAAAATCATCCAAAAACACCTAAAAAATCAATTTAATGTTTTTTTAGACAAAAAACAATTTAAAAAATAGTTTGTAACACATAAAAAAAAATCAATATATACAACATATAACCAAGAAAACATAGAAAAAGATTAATAAATGTAAAAAAGAAACATTCAGAAACAAGTCTAAGTTGTGCAGTCAAATTATAGAATTTTCAATTCAAGATCAGCAAACCCAACCCGTGCTCTGTGCCTTTTAAAAAGATCTTCCAGTGCGGCGACAAACTGACCGTGCACTTCAGCGAGCTGCAAAATAAATCCATGTATGAGCAACAGTTATAATTTCAATTTTAAAAATATTCTTAATCAAACACATTAAATTACTTTTTATTCAACCTCAATTTCAACCACAATTTTAACCAAACACCTATAAAATCAAACCAACCTCAGTTAAAAATACTTTTTATAAAACAACCTTTTCAAATCACAACCACAACAGCTACCGCAATACCAAACACACTCTAATATCACTCAGTCATTAGTCTATAGATATAGTGAAAAGAGGAATGCAGGCAGCTTTAAGTCCCACCCTAACTGGATTTCTTTTTGTACCAGTACTAGGGCCTTGAGTTTCTGAGCTTGTTAAATTATAAAAGCTTTACAATCTGCTACATTTTGTACAGCGTGTAACTAGTTTGGGACTGGGAAATGCTGGCATCTTAAATTGCAGGCTATGGATTTTTACAATACAGAGCTTTGAGCTGAGTGTCAACACTTCACATTACATTATATTCTCCAGTAATCAAATGGCATGATGGGAGTATGACCATCCTTGGAACCAAATTTCACTTGATGGTATGTAAGTTTTTCTTGGCCCCTCTAATGAAATTGGGAATTTGGGGTGGCTTTGCCACTGACCAGAGCAGGAAGTATTACTAACTAATACTTGAAGAACAAGGAATCTATAAATGAACAATGGGCTTTGGAGCTCAATGGTGCTCTTGCAAAAGCAAGAGGGGAGGTCTCTCCCGTATTAATCCTTCATTAATCTAAAACATAAAACGAATTTATTGTACTTCAAACAAAATGGATATGTTCACCAGTTCCAGTCAGAACTGATTCATCAGATTGCAGATTTAAGTGGCACCATACCTCTTCCACAGTGGGCTGAAGATTTTGCTTAAGCTCAATAGGTCTACCAACCACGATATGCATCGGGCGTTGGAAGGGCAAGGGAGTCCTGAAAAGCAGCAAACAATTATAAATTGCAAATATGTTTTTGTTTAATCTTATATATATATAAAGAGGGGTTCTATCAAATTTCAAATATACAGAGGAAATAATACAACAAACCCACTTCCCCAATAAAAAAAGGAGTCATTTTGTCTTTCTCATTAAACATTAGCAGATTTTTTGGAGAAAGCTGCACCTGGCAGTGGGTATAACCATGGGCCTAAACACTAAACACAAATGGAGTTTATCTAAACATAACTAGAATTTCCCCAAATTTTTACTTACCCAAAAATCCCCCCGAAGACAACTGGAGTGAATTTAATTGCTCTAGAAATTTTCAAGAATAACTTTCCGCTGGGTTTCCACCATTTATACACTTTTGACTGCAGCAAGAATAAGAAAATTAACCATGTTATCAATGAAAAATGTGTAATTGGAAAAGGGAGAATTAATCCATAAGATGAAAACTCAATTCTTGAAACATTAACCTCGAGCAGTACACAAGAGGACCAATGTCTTTTACAATGGACCAATCCACATAGTTCCAGCATTCACTGGCAAAGTAAATGGAGTACATAACAAGAAAATACTATGCTTTGCATTTAACCAACAGGTGACAAAGTGAAAAAGAAAAGAATCAATACTTGACCAAAGCAGAAAACTGGAACCAAGGGTGCACCGTTCTCCATGGCTATCTTGATAAATCCTCTTCTTGACTTGAGGAAAGCAATCTGAGAGCAAGCAGCACCCAAGATTAACAACCAAGCTATTCTTCAGGGTGAAAAAAAACAACGGTCTCTTTCAGTTTGGTTTGCATATGATGTCTGTCAATTTCAAGTCCCAAGGATTCTACGTAAAAGGGATGTAAAAGTAATAGCTTTCCATCACAATCTAAATAGAAGAAAAGGACGGGCTAAAGAATAAGAAGGAACAATAATAAACACACACAAACATGTAAGAACTACACTGTAAAATATATCAACGTCCAACATATGAACCAGCAAGGATCAGGCAGGGTAGGTTGCATAAGTCCTAGATCCAAAACTTTCTAAGCCAGACAGGGGAAAATCTACTTAGTTG